GGCACCAATATGAACTTGGAAGTTTGTACAAAGATCATTTGGCAGCTGGATCATGCAGTCATCTTGTGTCTGTAGGCACTTTAACAGTTGATATAATGCCACATTGGATGTACATTTTTTCAAAGAGTTGGCCAAGTCATAGACTTTTTTTTATGTGTAAAGGAGCGGCAAACCACAGCCATTGTGTAGCTCTACAAAGTATAAAGCAGAGCCTGCATATGTAATGATCAAATATAGTTACTTTCATGTACACATATAATTGCACACTCTACATAGAAACAAAGTTTTAAAAACATTAACACCCATTAATTCATTTTTTTTTTTTTTAACTGTCCTTTTTCATGTATATCTAAGATTATATATTCCTTTAAAAAAATGTTGTTTGCTATGGGCTTTTGCATTCTGCACAGTCATTGCACTTTGAGCCTCCTTACAAAATAAGGCTGCATAAGTACAGAATGAACATGTGTAACTTTTATTGTTGGGCTGCGATATTTGGTATAAACGTGACATGATTTCACTTAATAAATTTTAATCTGTGTACCTGAGTGGTATAATTCAGCAGTTCTTTACTTCTGGTGAACCACAAAGCATGAACGCATGTTCAGATCACCAAATATTATACATCAGGGTTAGTGAGATAAAATTCAAGGGAGTCCGGTGAATACAATTTTCATCAAGCAGAGGCCTGAATCACGGTCCGGAGAGAACGGTCACTCAGTTTTTTGTACATACCGCGGTCTGCCATTTAGGCTGCATTCACACCAGCAGCTGCACTTCAACACATAGCTGCTGGTGTGTTACCAGGCACTGTGCTGATGTGCCCATTGTGGCTCATCACACTGTTTATTTTTGTTAGCAGTCCCCCCCCCTTCCCATTTACATACACATGCATGCATTATGTGCACGTGTATATTAGAATCAGATGGTGGGGGCAGCAGGGTGGGTTTTCATGTTTTTTTACTTTATCACCATTTTTATTTTGTTACTTAACTTTTGCTGTCCCAATATGCCCAAGCCCCTATGTGACAGCTTTGGAGGTGACAGGTTCTCTTTATGGAGACATCAGGAGTCTATTAGACCTCTGATGTCTCTCCTGCCCTCCAATACAGACCATCAAGCACAAGAATGTGCTTGATAGTCTGCTTACCCGGCTTCTGACAGTTGAAGCAGGAAGAGCTTTACGCTTTAAGCTTCAGTGATCACAGAGCAGATTGGGAATGGATGTTCCCCAGTCTGCACACGCTCTCCATCCTGACACTTTGGTGCTGGGTTATGGCTGGTAGTGGAAACACTGGCCTCAGAGGCTGGTGTATCCCCTGTCAGCCTTAACCCAGCGCAGATTGAAAATCACAGTCCGGACAGTACCGCCACTTGCTTCATGTCCGGAACGCTGTCTACCATATAGTGACCCCTGTTCTACATATAATAGTGCCACATACTGTATTCTGTAAAGCAAGTACTTCTTAAATGGAAGCCAGAATGTAATTTCATTTTTAAAGCATACTTTTTGACTAGTGCAACAGTTGCCTGAAAGTAGATTTTTCTGTGCATTTCCCAGTTGTGCTTGGTTACCCGCGTATAATGGAATGCCTTTAAAGTTGAACTCCTGGCATAACTAAAATCGTTCACATTGTTGCCCCACCACCACCAACTTCTGCAAAATATAATGCTTGTTTTACTAAGAGATGATCTTACAGAGGAATACTTACCTCACTTCACTGTCGATTGGCAGCTGGCTGTTTGTTCCTTTTGCTCTCCAGCACTTGAATGTTGGCAAGCACTTCTACGTCACCATGTGCAATGCTGGATCACTGGTTGCCACTGTGCCTGCATGGTATGAGAATATGTCGGCAAGAAGGACTACGACAGAAGGAACACTGTGAAACTGCATTGGGGTAAGTATTTCTCTGTAATATATCATCCTCTAATAAAACAAGCATTATATTCTGCATTGGCTGGGTGGTAGTTGAAGATGACACTGTAAGTATCCTATTAAAGCCCAGACACTTTAAATGTTGATATAAGCAAAGTTAACCTTAGTATACAATTAGACTTCTGTGTTCTCATGCATATGCATGTTTAAAATGAGAATCACATGAGTTAGGTACCATTATTCATAAAGGAACCATTCTCACCTTTTACACTTCTGACGGGTGCAAATTGTAAATATTAACAGCATTTCTGTGCATTTTGATTTAAAAGGCATGTTACATTTAAATCAATAATAATATGCATGAAATACATACTACAAGCATAATGCCTTTTTAGAAAACAAAAATAGATACTTTTGCAAATCTGCTCTTGGAGGAGTGTGTGTGCTTTGCAGGAGTTCTGTACTGTGCAGAATAGCAGGGTGGACTTTGCTGCTGTACTGTACAAAGGGGCAGGGGTGGACATTGCTGTGGTACTGTTCAGAGGAGCAGAGAGGACTTTGCTGATGTACTATGCAGAGGAGCAGGGTGGAGTTTACTACTTTACTGTACAGAGGAGCAGAGTGGACATTGCTGTTGTATTGTACAGAGGAGCGGGGTGGACTTTACTGTTGTACTATACAGAATGTACAGAGGAGCGCGGTGGACATTGCTGTGGTACTGTATAGTGAAATAGAGTGGACATTGCTATTGTACTGTACAGAATGTACAAAGGAGCAGAGAGGACTTTGCTGATGTACTATGCAGAGGAGCAGGGTGGACTTTACTGTACAGAGGAGACAGAGTGGACATTGCTGTTGTACTATACAGAATGTACAGAGGAGCAGGATGGACATTGCTGCTGTACTGTACATAGAAGCAGGATGGACATTGCTGCTGTACTGTACAGAGGAGCAGAGTGGACATTGCTGTTGTACTATACAGACTGTGCAGAGGAGTGGGGTGGACTTTGCTGCTGTACAGAGAGGCGGGGGGGGCTTTGCTGCTGTACAGAGAGGCGGGGGGGGCTTTGCTGCTGTACAGAGAGGCGGGGGGGGCTTTGCTGCTGTACAGAGAGGCGGGGGGGGCTTTGCTGCTGTACAGAGAGGCGGGGGGGGCTTTGCTGCTGTACAGAGAGGCGGGGGGGGCTTTGCTGCTGTACAGAGAGGCGGGGGGGGCTTTGCTGCTGTACAGAGAGGCGGGGGGGACTTTGCTGCTGTACTGTACAGAGGAGCAGAGTGGACATTGCTGTTGTACTATACAGACTGTGCAGAGGAGTGGGGTGGACTTTGCTGCTGTACTCTACAGAGGAGCGGTGTGGACTTTGCTGCTGTACAGAGAGGCGGGGTGGACTTTGCTGCTGTACAGAGGAGCGGGGTGGACTTTGCTGCTGTACAGAGGGGCGGGGTGGACTTTGCTGCTGTACAGAGGGGCGGGGTGGACTTTGCTGCTGTACAGAGGGGCGGGGTGGACTTTGCTGCTGTACAGAGAGGCGGGGTGGACTTTGCTGCTGTACTGTACAGAGGAGCAGAGTGGACATTGCTGTTGTACTATACAGACTGTGCAGAGGAGCGGGGTGGACATAGAAGTAGAGTGGACAGAGCAGAGAGGACTTTTCTGCTGTACTCTACAGAGTAACGGGGTGGACTTTGCTCCTGTACTGTGCAGAGGAGTGGGGTGGACTTTGCTGCTGTACTCTACAGAGGAACGGTGTGGACTTTGCTGCTGTACAGAGAGGCGGGGTGGACTTTGCTGCTGTACTGTGCAGAGGAGCGGGGTGGACATAGAAGTAGAGTGGACAGAGCAGAGAGGACTTTTCTGCTGTACTCTACAGAGTAACGGGGTGGACTTTGCTGCTGTACTGTGCAGAGGAGCGGGGTGGACATAGAAGTAGAGTGGACAGAGCAGAGAGGACTTTTCTGCTGTACTCTACAGAGTAACGGGGTGGACTTTGCTGCTGTACTGTGCAGAGGAGCGGGGTGGACATAGAAGTAGAGTGGACAGAGCAGAGAGGACTTTTCTGCTGTACTCTACAGAGTAACGGGGTGGACTTTGCTGCTGTACTGTGCAGAGGAGCGGGGTGGACATAGAAGTAGAGTGGACAGAGCAGAGAGGACTTTTCTGCTGTACTCTACAGAGTAACGGGGTGGACTTTGCTGCTGTACTGTGCAGAGGAGCGGGGTGGACATAGAAGTAGAGTGGACAGAGCAGAGAGGACTTTTCTGCTGTACTCTACAGAGTAACGGGGTGGACTTTGCTGCTGTACTGTGCAGAGGAGCGGGGTGGACATAGAAGTAGAGTGGACAGAGCAGAGAGGACTTTTCTGCTGTACTCTACAGAGTAACGGGGTGGACTTTGCTGCTGTACTGTGCAGAGGAGCGGGGTGGACATAGAAGTAGAGTGGACAGAGCAGAGAGGACTTTTCTGCTGTACTCTACAGAGTAACGGGGTGGACTTTGCTGCTGTACTGTGCAGAGGAGCGGGGTGGACATAGAAGTAGAGTGGACAGAGCAGAGAGGACTTTTCTGCTGTACTCTACAGAGTAACGGGGTGGACTTTGCTGCTGTACTGTGCAGAGGAGCGGGGTGGACATAGAAGTAGAGTGGACAGAGCAGAGAGGACTTTTCTGCTGTACTCTACAGAGTAACGGGGTGGACTTTGCTGCTGTACTGTGCAGAGGAGCGGGGTGGACATAGAAGTAGAGTGGACAGAGCAGAGAGGACTTTTCTGCTGTACTCTACAGAGTAACGGGGTGGACTTTGCTGCTGTACTGTGCAGAGGAGCGGGGTGGACATAGAAGTAGAGTGGACAGAGCAGAGAGGACTTTTCTGCTGTACTCTACAGAGTAACGGGGTGGACTTTGCTGCTGTACTGTGCAGAGGAGCGGGGTGGACTTTGCTGCTTTACTGTGTAATATTCTTCCTTCATAAGATCAGGATTTACAGTGGTTGGGCTGGGGGTCCTATAGACTTAAAATCAGTGCCTGACCTGTTGGGATCAGACCACTGCCATTGTTCATCTACTGGTGTGTATAGCAAGTCTCGTTTTGTATTCATCAGGCCAGACAGACTAAGTGGCACAGAGACAAGACACATTCATGTGCAGTACTCCTTTATAACCGCCTCCCTGACATTACACAAGATCAGGTTTATTAAGACTATTGATCCTCTTGATCTCTAAGTTTATACAATAATTGCCTTGTGGAGGTCTAGTTCTATTCCACTAGTCATCTGAATGCCTTCCTGAGCCTGAATCCACTTAACCAATATACGTGGTCAGAAGGACGTTTGGGTGCCAAATGCTGTCCTGACCGCACCCCTGCGCTAGACAGTCTGAACACAGACGTCTCTTCTCAGCTTTTGTGCTATAACACCGCAGTATACACATTGCCCCGAGAGATGGAAATAGATTTGGCCATCCAACAGCCACTCGTTTGCAGAACGGACCCATGTGTTCTGCTCGGCGACTCGGACCTGCTTCCCTTGCATTAGCCGCCCCTCCTCTCCTCTTTTCCACTCCCCACCTCTTTGCTGTGCATTGCAGTAAACGGACTGCGCATGCTCATTGGTGGGTCTATAAATAGCTCATGACGTCACCTAGAAATATTCCCGAAAGATACGCCCCCTGCCCCGCCCACTCATAGTGCGTCCCGGGTTGCAGCACCGTTAGGAGCAGAACCGGCATCAGCACAGAGAGACTGATAGAGAGCCGAGCACAGTAGCGACACTCCACACCCGCCCGGAGAACAGCATGGCGGACCGGGAGCAGCTGCTCCAGAGAGCCCGTTTGGCGGAGCAGGCGGAGAGGTACGAGGATATGGCTGCAGCTATGAGAGCGGTAAGTGCCAGACAGATGAAGATAGCATGCAGAGGAGAGGCATGGCATCGTGTAGAGAAAATGCATGTGTGTCCCAGAGATCAGGGCGGCCCTCATGACTTGTCAGATCTCCATCATGAACCCTGCATGGTAACACATTTAGCATGTGTGTGCTCTCCTTGCCCCATACCGCACATTGCCGTAATCCGAGAAGCTGCAGAACTGCTAGAACTGGGACAATAAATATATGACACTGACACAAGGCAGAAGACATGCTGATCTGAATTCATAATGTATACATGGAGAGTGAGATATGAAGAGGTCTAAAGGATGTGCAAGATCCTATTCATACATACTAATATATGACACAAGGTAGAAGACATGCTGATCTGAATTCACAATGTATACATGGAGAGTGAGATATGATGTCTAAAGGATGTGCAAGATCTATTCATACATACTAATATATGACACAAGGTAGAAGACATGCTGATCTGAATTCATAATGTATACGTGGAGAGTGAGATATGATGAGGTCCAAAGGATGTACAAGATCTATTCATACATACTAATATATGACACAAGGTAGAAGACATGCTGATCTGAAATCACAATGTATACATGGAGAGTGAGATATGGTGAGGTCTAAAGGATGTATAAGATCTATTCATTAAACACTTTAATGTGTGACACTGATGCAAGGAAAAAGACATGCTGATCTTTATGTAAAACTGTAGAGTGAGATGATGAATGCCAAAGGATGTGCAAGATCTATTCATTAAACACTCCAATATATGACAGGACACTGATATAAGATAAGACTCGATTAATTCCAAAAGATGTACAAGATCTATCCATTAACCACTCCAATGTATGACAGGACACTGATATATGGTAAAGGACACACTGATCTTAATTCCCAATGTATAGCTGGTCAGTACGATTTCATGAATTTCAAAAGATGTAGAAGATCACACTCCAATATATGACAATGACACGAAGTAAAAGACATGTTTGATTTTAATGTATAACTGGAGACTGAGATGATGAATTCCAAAGGATGTACAAGATCTGTTTAAAAAACACTCTTAATATGACCCTGATACAAAGTAAAAGACATGCTGATCTTAATGTATAAATGGAGACTGAGATGATGAATTCCAAAGGATGTAGAAGATCTATTCAGAAAACGCTCTGAATATGACACTGATGCAAGGTAAAAGACATGCTGATGTAGATTTTTTTTTTTTTTATATAAGGCGAATGTCAGAGAAAAATGTATAGTCTCGGTGTAAAAAGTTGCAATACACACAACAGAAATTGCAAAAATGATGACTGAAGATGGTAATTGCATTGGCTCTGTGTATCGGCGAAGGAAGAAATCATCTGGAGATGGAATGTTTGTATCAAGGTCTTTGTAGAAAATTGGATGCAGTGCACGATGGTACCCGTCTGCGAGGAGGTTATCAAGCAGCAGGATGCAATGTGTGCCCAATTGTAGGGTGGGGTAAATGTGCACCAAGCTGTGAAGCAGTCCTGGGCCAATATGGGTGTTTGATTTTGGGACTTTGCTTGGCTTGAGTAATGCTAGTTTTATCAGTTGCATGTGTGTCTGCTTGTTATGCCCGGGGGAACATGTCTGGCCATCCTCATCTTTGGCTTAGTATTCATGCCTGTGATTGCAGCATGGCGTGTTAGATGGTAGGTGGCATTTCAATATCTATAGTGCAGTGATGGGGTGTGGTGACCTGTCTGTATGTAGTGTCAAGGGATAGCCTGACATTCTATTTGGATTTGTGTTTCGATCACACATTTTTTTTTTTTTAACACTAAAGACATGGTCAGTACATCCTTTTTGTTCCTGTTATTGGTCTGTATATAACTGAAAATTGAGCATTTCACTTTTGTGTCATACAGGTCACAGAATTCAACGAGCCATTGTCTAACGAAGACCGAAACCTGCTGTCCGTAGCATACAAAAATGTAGTGGGTGCTCGAAGGTCCTCATGGCGAGTCATCAGTAGTATTGAGCAGAAGACACTGGCTGATGGTAATGAGAAGAAGCTGGAGAAGGTGAAAGCCTACAGAGAAAAGATCGAAGCTGAACTGGAGGCTGTATGTAATGAAGTCCTGTCTCTGCTTGACAAGTACCTCATCAAGAATTGCAATGACTTCCAGTATGAAAGCAAAGTTTTCTACCTGAAGATGAAGGGAGATTATTACCGCTACCTGTCAGAAGTAGGCTCTGGGGATAGGAAGCGAAGTGTAACGGAGGCCTCTGAAGCTTCGTATAAGGAGGCCTTTGAAATTAGCAAAGAGCACATGCAGCCTACTCACCCTATTCGTCTAGGCCTGGCCCTCAACTTCTCAGTCTTTTATTATGAGATACAGGGTAGCCCCGAACAAGCTTGCCTCCTCGCCAAGCAGGCCTTTGATGATGCCATCGCTGAGCTGGACACGCTTAACGAGGATTCCTACAAGGACTCCACCCTCATCATGCAGCTCCTGCGTGACAACCTGACCCTCTGGACAAGTGACCAGCCAGACGAAGAGACCGGCGAAGGCAACAATTAAAGAGGGTGTTGCGTCTTGCTACAGCCCATTACTTACCCTCTCCCCTTCACCACATGCTTCCCCCACCCCCATCGCTGCCCCTGACATTACCCAGTGCTTATCATATCCGTATCATTGGCACAACTGCTCATACTGCTGCGTGCCCGGGGAGATGGGCTCTCGTGGCGGGGCTCTCTTGGGCATTGCTGGATTGCGTTGGCACATCAGCCGTTTCTCGGGTTGCCCTCGCGTTGTTCAGGGGATAAGGGAGGCTGCAGTTTCAGAGAGGCGCCCGCACTCTCCTAGCCGATAGGGCACTCACGGGCTGGAAAGATGCAAAGTGGTCCCGTTTTTATTTTGTAAAGAAACTGTTTTTAGTTTCCATTTGTGCAGCAGTCCCTTTGCATGTAAATGACTCCCCGTTCCCTTTCTTCCCACAGAGAAGGCACCACACAGCTCCAGCTGTGAATGGCTGCAGTTCCCCTAGTGGGAAATGGGGGTCCACCTGTTTTTGTTAGCTAACGATAGACGTTTTTAAATGTGAGCTTTGTGAAGTTTCTATTTGCCCTTTTAACTTATGGTGTGATCATTCTACACCCCTCCTGAGTTTGAATGCCCTAAAAGTACTTGTGTTTTTGGGTTTGGTTTGGTTTTTTGTTTGTTTTTTATTTTCTAATCACTTCATTATTCTGGTAAAGGGCCTCATTATTTGGTTGTAAACTTTGTGCAGGACAGTCCTTTTCAGGACTGGCTGCATCTGCACAAGTGTGTATTAGCCTGTTCATGATGGATGCCAATAAAATGCCAGACACCCAATATAAATGTTTTGAAAATGCGTGGATGAAATAAATGCTGCTTTGAGGATATTATTCTCGCTTGAGCCTCTTGTCTGTTGATAAAAAGCAATACATATTCCTTATCCTATAGGTCAGAACTTCGCTCGCTGCACTTGCTTCTGGGTAGGATCAAGAGTGAACCATTGATATGATAGAGCACATATCTTGTCTGGGGTTTCTTGCGGTAAAGCCATTTTATTTTTCTGTCTATATCCATTAATGTACCTGCCCTATGTGCTATTCATTTTACATACAGCCAGCAACACTCCAATGAGCTCTTATTGTATTTATTGTGGTGTTATAGCAGATTCTTAGTAACAATGAAAGCAAGTCTGTGTTTCCCAGGGTTCTACCTATAGGACTACATTATTCTTTTTTTTTTCATCATATGTCTTCAATAAAGAACAGCTGAGCATTTCTGCTTTAAGGTGCCCATACACCTGCCGATTAGCTTACGATAATCGCGGGAAATCCCGTGATCGTACGATAATCGGCAGGTGTATGGAAGGCGTGCGACCGTTTCTACTGTACGGTCGCACGTCTTTTGTCTCCCGTGCAGGCTTGAAAACCCGCCGAGAATCGTACGATTGTTGGCGGGTTAGTGCCGTATCGGGAGACAAATGCCGAACAGGCCGGTGTGCGCAAGCACATACTGCCCGTGCAGCATTGGAGTTATCAGAAGCCCGCCCCTCAGCGGGGAGGGCTTTCGATGATCGCAAGTACAATCTGCCTGTCCAAGATGGGCAGATCGTACTTATGGTTCATTTCTATGCAGTTGCATAAGATGTATTGGATGCTTACCTAGATGAAATGCTGTGCTGTTCAGTGTACATCTAGTAGAACGGTACATAAAACTGGTCTGTTATATAGGCAGTTTACAACAATCCACTCACTTCTGGCCCCAAAACGTGCATGTCCGCTCATCGGTCTGAAGGTATTGAGATCTAATTATCAAAAGGTAGATATGATCAAAACTAGGCTATGCTGCATTGATTTATGTATTGCCTCCATCGAACCTCTAAATTGCAACCCATAGGATCCTATTGAAAAATAAGAAAGCTGTACAGATATCATTCGTCTTAACTGAGATGTATGTTATGCAGATGTAACTTTTTTTTTTTTTTTTTTTTTTTTTTTTACCAAGCAGCTAAAGATAATTTACATCAAGGAACCTGCATCTCCTTCTTTAGGGATTCCGCCCCAGGTATGATTTGAGTATGGCATGGCTTCTGAATAATTGGCCCATGTCCTGTAATGGGTGCCCCTCATACTTTGGCAGTGCAGCATTGCTGAGTGGTCCTGGATTTCTTTGGATGTGACCTGAATAATTCATACTGCAATACAGGTAATGGAAGAGATGGGGAAGGTCTAAGCTAGTTTCCACAGCAACAGAATGAGATTTATAGAAGCTTCTGTTTCCATGGCAATGGGACTAGAGGGAGTGATGCTGCAGAACACTAGTCTGAGCTGCAACTGTTACAATGTGTCTGATGGCTGCACAATACTCGCATTCCGTTTCCAGTGGTATTCCTTCGCCATGTATGTGGGGTGGCTACTAATATGGCCACATTGACATCCACCCAGTCGTAGTTGATCTTTATTGTGTAATTTGCAATTGTGAAGAACTCTCCAGCAGAAAATTGCTTATCTCACACTGTAAATCCATTTCTATCATTACTAGGAGGGTTGCATTAAAGGTAGTTAGAGCTGTCACCTTGGGGACGGTGTGATGTCACCCCGTTTTCATGGTAACCGTTTTGTCATCAAGATAGATGAAGCAGACAGCACATACGACTGTCCAAGGTTGCTGCTCACGTTATGGGTGGCATCTGCTGCTGCTCATGATGTCAATGACATCTACATAGAAGGAATATACGTCGGACGTCTTTATCGTTCCACATCTTTTACTGTGCCAGATCCTAGTACGGCATAGATGAGCCAAGTGCAAATCACTATGGCAGGGAAGGGTTCAGTCTGCTATTCTGACCTAAGTATAACATTTCATTTTGGATTGCAGTATAAAAATCAGAATGGTTGCTAGTGTCTAGTACAGGGGCAGGCAACCCTGGCACTCTAGCTGTGCTGAAACTACATACCCCATGAGGCATTGCAAGACTCTGACAGGCAAAGGCATGATGGGGCTTGTAGTTTCACCATAGCTAGAGTGCCAAGGTTGCTCACCCATGGTTATTGACATTGCTTTTTCACCACGATAAATACGGCCTGTACCAAAAAAAAACCTGATTAGCTTGTTAGAATTTGCAAGTTGGTTAGAAGGGGAAAAGAATACTACCTAAATGCCAAAAGTCTGTGGCTGTCAGTCTTGCAAAACCTCATGGGATAAGTCGTTGCACCACAGCTGGAAGGCCAGAGTTTGCCTACCACTACTGATGAGCTATACTTTTTCCATGCAAATTTATATAGGTTATTTGCCAATTGAACGCAGGTAAGACTATCTAACAATGGAGCCTGTGAGATCAGAGGAAGCCACCTCGGCACTCAGGACGACTGGAGTGCCAAGGTTGCCTACACCTGGCGGTAGATCATCGAGGCTGCATTTACACTTCCTTGTGCATGCTTGCATGGTAATGCACATGTGTAGGTGTGAGCGACTCCATATACACTATATTGCCAAAAGTATTGGGACGCCTGCTTTTACACGCACATGAACTTTAATGGCATCTCAGTCTTAGTCCGTAGGGTTCAATATTGGGTTGGCCCACCATTTGCCGCTATAACAGCTTCAACTCTTCTGGGAAGGCGTCCACAAGGTTTAGGAGTGTGTCTATGGGAATGTTTGATCATTCTTCCAGAAGCGCATTTGTGAGGTCAGGTACTGATGTGGGACTAGAAGGCCTGGCTCGCAGTCTTCGCTCTAATTCATCCCAAAAGTGTTCTATCGGGTTGAGGTCAGGACTCTGTGCAGGCCAGTCAAGTTCCTCCACCCCAAACTCGCTCATTCATGTCTTTATGGACCTTGCTTTGTGCACTGGTGCACAGTCATGTTGGAACAGCAAGGGGCCATCCCCAAACTGTTCCCACAAAGTTGGGAGCATGAAATTGTCCAAAATGTCTTTGTGTGCTGATGCCTTAAGAGTTCCCTTCACTGGAACTAAGGGGCCAAGCCCAACCCCGGAGAAACAACCCCACACCATAACCCCCCCTTTACCAAACTTTACACTTGGCACAATGCAGTGAGGTGAGTACCGTTCTCCTGGCAGCCACCAAACCCAGACACGTCCATTGGATTGCCAGAGAAGCGTGATTCGTCACTCCAGAGAACACGTCTCCACTTCTCTAGAGTCCAGTGGCAGCGTGCTTTACACCACTGCATCCGATGCTTTGCATTGCCCTTGGTGATGTAAGGCTTGGATGCAGCTGCTTGACCATGGAAACCCATTCCATGAAGCCCTCTACGCACTGTTGTGCCAATCTGAAGGCCACACGAAGTTTGGAGGTCTGTAGCTATTGACTCTGCAGACAGTTGGCAACTTCTGTGCGCTTCAGCATGCGCTGACCCCGCTCTGTCATTTTACGTGGCCTACCACTTCGTGGCTGAGTTGCTGTTGTTACCAGTTGCTTCCACTTTGTTATAATACCACTAACAGGTGACCGTGGAATATTTAGTAGCAAGGAAATGTCACTGATGGACTTATTGCACCGGTGGCAACCTATCACGGTCCACGCTTGAATTCACTGAGCTCCTGAGAGCGACCCATTCTTTCACAAATGTTTGTAGAAGCGTCTGCATGCCGAGGTGCTTGATTTCATACACGTGGCCATGGAGGTGATTGGAACACCTGAATCCAATGATTCGAAGGGGGGTCCCAATACTTTTGGGAATATAGTGCATTGCATAGATGTGAACCAGCCACATAAGAAATAATAGGATTTGTACTTCCAATCCACCCTCATGCAGCAAAATGCATGAGTTTTGCTGCATGAAAATTAATGTGTGCGAATAGGCCCATGATAAATAAGTTGTCAACTCTAATCGAGATTCTAAGAACTTTAAGGAAACCTCTTCTGGCCACATGCTGAAAATGCTAGCTGCCTGGCTGTCATACTAATCCTTTTGCTTCTTTGTTGAATGATGCAGTGTGTATGCCATATCCCGTAATGGGTTCTTTAAGGTAGGTGACTACATTTATCTGTTTGTTTTTGTTTTTTCCATTCTGTTCTGCTGAGACCTCCTCATACTGCTTCTATGTAGCAGTGATAAGTCAGAAAGGAATGTTCTGTCTGCTGAAGGTCAGTTATGAGATCCGTATGCTTTGTCCTGCTTCTCTGAGAACAGCAAGGCCAGGGCAGGACGCTGGGAGAAATACAAAAAGCCAAGCAGCTTCTCTTGATAGATCCCCCCTGCCGGCAATTGAACCTTTACTTACTATATGTTAAGATTGGAGGTGGGCATAGATTTCAAGGTGACTGGGTTATGTGTTGGTAGAATAATAGGCCTACTCCAACTGGCTGCTTTGCACTATGGGAAACAAGCTAGACGTGGCGATTTTCCAGAATAAATATGTCATTTTGTAGTCTTTTACTATATATGGTAACAATGTGTTCACACCGATAAGAGGGGGCAATTTAATAGGGTACGAGTCCCTCCAGGACAGACATTCAATAGTAAATGGAACCTGTACTGTAAGCATGTCAGCTACCTTCTTACATTTCTTCTGAAAATGTTACACACCTGGCTGTCATGCTGAACCAGTGGTTTCAGTACTTTAGAACAGTGTTTCTCAACCTTGTTTGAGTCAGGATACACTATTAAACTATGCAAAATCTCAAGGAACCCCTAGTGTGTTTCGTGAACACGCGGCAAACTTGGGAAAAAATGCGCGCTTTGACGCACGTTTACAGAACCTGTCAAAAACGTGAAATGTGCTTCTGGTGCCATTAAGAATTGCCCATTAAGGGTTCATTAACTCAGTGATGGCACCCCCTGGAACGACCATATACTGGCACCACCTGCCCCCTCTCCCGCAACAACCATATACTGGCAGCACCCAAAACAAACAGCACCCCCCCCT